CCCGATCTTCTGCTCAGCCAAGTGGATTCAATGTCGTGGTTGACACCGCGTTCAACAGCAGCAACGTCCCAGGGTTCTGTCAGCTGCTCGATGGCCCCGACCCAGAGCAACAAAGGCTTCATCAACGACCCTCCAGCGCAGGGTCACGCTACCACGAGTAAAATCCACGATTCTCCTATTAAGCCACCCAGGTTCCACCAAGGATCGACCCAAGTCATCAACTACCAGCCTCAGCATCTTCAGGGAATTTCGCTTCAGCACGATCGTGCCTCGCACCATGGCTGCAACTCGTCGCCTGCCGGGGCTCATCCTGCCATGAACCTCGACGGACAGCAGCATAGCAACGAGTTCTTCTGCCATGGAGGGTTAGCAAACAAATACAATGGCCATCCGGAGGGGGGTTTCATGGACAACCCTATTCAGCATAATTTCCCAACCGGAGGGGAACAAAATGTGCCTCATGACGCGGCCAATCCGATTAGCATGGATACCACCAACTCCGACATCGCTATTGACCCCCGCCTCTGGGAGGCTAGTCGGGTTGCGTACTTGAACGACACCACCGATGCTCAACTCGCCAGCATGGGCTTCGTCCGTGCCAATGCTCTTCCCACCCCACAGTCCGCGGAACGGTTGGCCGCCAACACGTCTCAGTATCCCGAATCCAACGTGGGCACCTGGGTTCAGCAGAACTCCCCGACTTACGGTTCAAGCAGCAGCGGTGGTTGTATCTCGCCCTTCAAAGGCCATCACATCGGCACTGCGCGAGGCGATATCGATGACCATGCGTGGGACACGGTTGACCTGGGCAACAAACAACAGCCCAGCCGTCGCACCAGCAAGAAGCGAAAGAGCAGCAAGGCGAGCTGCCTCGATCTTTATGGCCCCACGACTGAACAGCCTCCGCCCATTATGACAGAGGCTATGCGCGAGGCTCTCGTTTCCCAAGGCAGCGGTGGTGCTATGGCTCCTATTGAACACACGGCGGAGCCGATTGCTGCTGCTGAGGGGTCCATCGTGGAGAATCGGGCGCAAATGGAGAGAATGGAGCTCGTCAGAATGATTCAGGAGGAACAGAGGAAGTTTCAGGAACAGCAAAAGGCTGATTGGGAGGCGTTCGAATTGCGTATACAGCATATCCTGCAGGGACACGGTGGTCAGTGAGCCAAGATGGGGAGACTTTCTGTACCTGGTAGACACGAGCATTGACAGACGATAGGTGCTTGCCAATGGGCCCGCCCTACGAGTACTTGTTGCTGTCGTCATTCTCATGTAGTTATGATTAATTCTCCGCAGAGCAAGAAATCGGTCCATAACTTCCCACCGAAGCCATCCGCATACCAGCAAAGGTTGAAGATCCATTTAAATAAGTGATACCAGGAGCCGAACCATGTCATGGCAAAGAGATCTTCGAGACTATCTAGAATGCATAATAGATCAAGGTTGCTCCCCTATCTTGATTGACAGACAATTGGGGTCTGTCAAAACATCTGAAGCGCCTTGGAAAAAACAATTGCAAGACAACAGCCGTAAGTTGACGGTGGCTGGCACTCTTCGACATACCACAACGAGGACCTGTCGAACGCCAAGCCAATCGACACGCAGATCTCAGTTCGGGGCGTGTGCATTGAGCTGCATGAACGGGCAGCGTTGGATTTGGCGGTGAGACCAGGCAGCGGCTCGTGGGTCTGATCTGGAGTGTGCCATCCAATAAGCAGGTGTCTCGAGTGGATGTCAGAAATCTGACGATCGATTATGCTGCCCGGAAAAACGAAGGAACTCAGTCGACAGCCAAGACGAGAAGCGAGATGTACAACCCATGTTGAAGCTGCTGCTGTTCAAAGGCGTCCCGGATTTGTTGAAAGGAAGCTGCCAATTGTGGCTAGAGAGAGACGTGGACAGTGAGAAGGGATAAACACGCTTGTGGCTCGTGCGCTGTGGGTTGCCCGTGGTAGCCAGTGACAGAGCTAAGCCTCATTAGGAAAGGCGCGATGCCAGCGCAAAGGAGGCCCGGAGCGATCCACAATCAACATTGATCGCAGTCATTTGGCTTTCGAATGCGGCCTGACGAGACTCCCTTCTACATCGACAACCCTCGCGACAACACCGCGACATACGCCTAGCGACAACACGGCAGCGGCATAGGTAAGTGAGCCGCCCGTGATACGACCGTCGACAAATCGACCACGCGACAGCCCTCCGACACCAAACGACCGCTGCGACCGATCGCAGCTCGAGGTGCATCCCGCCCCCTCGATATTGGCGTGCACCCCAACCACCGCCCTTGGGTCCATTCCGAAACCCAATCCCGCAATTTCCTACCAAACGGGCCTGACACCTATCGTCAGCGACAGACCACGTCGCCAGAGCATCTCGACCGTTTTGCCAGCATCTCTTTTGTTTGGCAGCATTTCCAACTGTTATCACCATTCTCGGTCTGCAGCGCAACTGACCGACCGACGACCCCCGAGCAGCGAGCAGCGAGCAGCGTCGTCATCCCTGCCCCCCCAACAGTTTCACATGCGATTCCAAGCCAGCGCCTTCGACAACGCGCGCTGAACACCAACCATGGCCGAACCACCTTCGTCGCCACCTGGCGAGTCTGCCTCCGCCGAGGACTCCTTGTCGTGGTACAAGTCGCAGTATGAGGTGCTTGAGCAGGAGCTCGCTGAGTTCAGAGAATCGAGCAAGGAACTTGAGCAGGAGCTCGAGAAGGACATCGAGCAGGCTGAAAAGAGGGAGCGTGGGCTCCAGGAGAAGGCGGAGAGCCTTGCATTCGAGGTCGAGGAGTGGAAGGTGCGTCTTGGCTCATCCCTTTGCTCGCCGAAGTAGAGGGGCAACCCTCCCCCCTTCCCGCACAACGGAGTGCTGACATGCCAGTCCAGGCCAAGTGCAAGCAGTCCAAGGCTGAGGCCAACGCGGCGCAGAATCTTCTTGAGAAGGAGGTGACGACCCTCCGTGATGCCAACAGGGGTTTGACGATGAAGCTTCGCGATATCGAAGTGGCCAATGATGACTTCGAGAGGCAAGCCCGCAACACGACGTCTTCTCTGGAGGACCTTGAAAGCAAATACAACGTTGCTATCGAGCGTGGTGTTTTGATGGAGGAGGAGATCAAGCTGGCCGACCGCGAGCGCGAGACTCTTCGCATCGAGGCCCAGCGCCTGCGCGAAGAGCTTTCCGACCTCAAGATTGAGGCCGAGTTGCTCCAGGACAAGATCAAGAAGCAGGAGGACCGTCACCTGTCCCACATTTCCACCGACATGTCCCTCCTCGAATCGCCCACCTTTGACAAGACGATCGATGCCTCGCCCAACTCAACAGCCAGCTCCCCTCTCATCACGACGCCTCCCGACACGGCCCAGCTGCGGGCCTCGAAGGCGCTGCACTCTCACGACCCTCCTTCGCCTCCCATGTCCGACGTCTCGGCGCCTGCTCCTTCGGCCAGGAAACCCGCTACGAAGCCGGTCGCCAAGACACCCGCGCCGTCCACGCGCAAGTCCCGCCTTCCTTCTGCCGATCACAGCATCACGCTAAAGCCCAGGTCCAACTTTGCTTCTTCTACGACGAGCAGGCCGGTCGGCCGCTCTGTCACTGCCACGTCAGCCACCCGCACGCCAGCCCCGCGAACCACGGCCCGGGCCGCCTCCCATCGCATCCCAGCGTCCAACTCCCTCACACACATCCGCTCCCTCACCGCGCAGATGCAGCGCCTCGAAGCCCGCGTCCAGTCAGCTCGCTCCAAGCTGCCTGCGCCCGTCAACACGCCTCCCAGGGCATCGCCCCGTTCATCCGTCAACGGCTCCAGTAATGTCCCTGCGACGGTTACGATCCGTTCTCGCAAGCGCACTATTGGCTCCTCCTCCGCGACAAGCTCCATTGTCGGCGACGAACCCACGCCCACGAACCCCCGCAACTCGACACACAGCACCTCAACCACTGGATCCAGGCACATGTCTCGACCTAGCGCGTCGGGCATCAGCCGTCTGTCGTTCGGCCCTCTTCCGAATCGTAACCCTCCCGGCACCGATTCGGATGCCTCCATCTCACGACCCAGTTCACGCGCCAGCCTGTCCTCCTACGCACGCCCGGCGAGTCGCACTGAGATGATCCCACCACCAAGGCCCATGAGCCGCTCCAGTCTCTCCGGCGCACGAACGCCTCTTGGCCGACCGAGGAGTTCGATCGGCATGCACGGCCACTCGGCGAGCATCTCCCGCATCGATATGGACGAGGCGGACGAAGATGCCGCAGCCGCGGGTGAGCTGCGCACGCCCAGCCGCAGAGGCACGTACTCGCGCTTTGACACGGACGGCGGTGCCAGCAACATCCCCATGCCTGGCAGGCGGCAGAGCGGCAGCGGACCGTCGACGCGGCGGACGAGCAGCGGCGTCGACCTCCGAGCCTCCGTGCGACGGTCGGCTGTCGGCGCACCAGAAAGCCTTGAGGAGGAGACTTATTAATTATCACGGGATAGAGACGGCGAGAGGTGCGGACCGAGACACTTAAGATACCCCAGCAGGATGAGAAGGAGGAGGAGGAGAGAGGAGGAGGAGGAGGAGGAGGAGGAGGAGA